TTTTAATCAGAGAATTTGCAGTTTTTAAATAGAGAAAACCAAGTTCCCTGGTCATTAGTAACATGTTTTTGTCAAACATTTATGCTGTTCCTTTAAAAGAATCAGGGAAAAATTTAACTAATAAAGTTCCACAGGCTGCTAGTATAGAGAAGAGTTTAAATATAGTTAAGGTTGATCCTGCTTTGAGCAGGGGGTTGGACTAAGCAACCTCCTGAGGTCCCATCCAAACCTAATTTTCTATAATTCTGCGAAAGCCACCCAAGGCTGTATTGTGCCCTGGTTCAAAAGGGCCACAGAGGAGCAAAGAGAAGTAAAACCGTCTTCATCCTTGGGTTTCTAATAACTGTGGAAGAAACTCATGGTTTGAAGTGCTGATATGGTGAGACAGAGCAGAGGCTACTTCCACTTGATATGCCCTACACCAGAAGCAAGTGGTGTGAGGAGGGAGTCTCTAGTCATGTACTATAAGAAATACCCTGAAAGGTATGCACACCCATACCATATAACTGCAAGAGAGCTTAATTGCAACTGTAACACGGGATGTGATGGAAGTATCATCCTGATTTCTATCAGTTTTTCTCTTGAGATGATATACAGTCTCTCAAATACCACTCTGAGCCTGAAGTCTTAGTGTAGCTGAATCACCAGTGCCAGAGCATCTGAGGCAATTCATTTGTACTGGGTAGAGACATTGTCTGCAAATTTTACTCCCAAATTTGGTCTGTGCAGCCCCAGGAAGATCATCTCAGTACCACTAATATGCAGAGAATGTCCCTAATTCCTATTAATCCCAGTGTCTGTATCAGTCCTTCTGCTGCACTGGTAACTGGTGTACTTGGAGCAGCATTTAGGATCAAAGGTGTGCAAAGTCTTCCTTCACAGGCACCTCTGAGCAGAGCTGTGTTTTCCTCATCTGGGCTGGATTCTTAAGGTCAAACCATTTTTTGTCCTTAATCTAGGGTATGTTGTTGTGCTTATGGTATGAGCAATCATCAGTTCTTGTTTCTTAAGAAGGGGATAAGCTATTTTTATCTCTTGTTGTTACAGCATGATGAATTACAATTTACATTTCCTTATGTGACCATGACAATTTGGCTTTGCAGTCAGGACTTTTGAAGGTTATTGTTGATGCTATCTTCTCTGAGGTCCTTGCATCTGTTACTTAGGAAGATAGTTTGTTTCCTATGTAATTATACATATTTTAATTCTTTTCAGTGATCTCGAATTAAGTCAGATTTGTTTCTTAAACTATATACTTCGAGATGCTGATACCACCACGCTATCAGAATCGCATGTGATGCATTTTAGGCATTTTTAAACAAAACTCAGTATTTGCTTTTCTGTTTTTGTGATGAACATCTTCAGCGTTTGACACGTTTTAATAACCATAAAAGCCAGAGGCAGAAGAGAATCTTGAAGGTTAAAAAATGGTGTATTTATGTTATTATTTCATCCTCAAGGAACACTGTATATTGAAGGCTAAGAGGATTAAGTGGCTGACTGTATTTTACACTCTCACAGCCTCTTGTTGTTATAAGCCTGGGCTTCTGACTCTGCAGAGTTGCACTCCCATTCATTAATTTATGCCATACAAAATTACTGTTGCCTAATTTATACTGCTACTAATGTCAGAGTACTGCCTTTTGGCTCTAAGATTTCCTGCCTTTTTTCAAGTATAGTGTAACTCTATGCCATGTACAATTAATTAACTGGTTCAGTGACCTGGGCACTGATGAACCATAGTACCGGTATATTAAGCAAAGGAGCGTCTTTATAGCCTTCTATTCTTATGTACTTTTTTTCCTATGAAATTCATGACACTGTGACACATCCTGAGCTAAATTATACCTTGGAGCCCCTGGCAGATGTTCAGTTAAAGGCACAATGGGATCTTATCCATGATATCAGCAATTGCGCCTTTTGCCAAGCTACATGTGCCTGGCAGGAGGCCCAATTGTGGGATCAGATCCAAATCATGCCCTACAGCCAGTGTAGGACTTCAATCTGCTCCCAGTCTTGGGAGCACTGATCAGTTGACTGGGACTCCTAGCCCCAGGAGCACACTAGTCAAGGGCTCCCATGCAGTCCTGAAGCTGAGCGCACCAGTCAGCTGACTAGTGCCCCAGCCTCGGGAGCGCACTGGAGCAAAGGGCTCCATGTACTCCCGAGGCTGAGAGCTCCAGTCAGCAGATTGGTTCTGGCCATACATTCCATTTAAGGCACAATAGGAACCAGCCACAAAGTTATTACACATATTTTGTGGAATAACTTTGTAGCTTATTCCCTGTTTATCATGCCATTAACTGCATGAATGTATGGCTGGGATACTACTTAAGACATTATTAACTGCTTAATTATGTCTTAAATGTAACGTCTGTCAGGGGCCTGAGACTTACTTGTCTCAAGGCCTATTTATTTAATTGTTCTAAAAAACAATACCTAAACTGTCTTCATTGTTTAGTCTTGCAAGAGATTGTTTAAATAGATTTTACCAAGTTTGGCTTAAACTAAATGCTGCTGAGAAGTAAAACATTTTTTCATAATACGATTTGGCACCAAATGTTAATACTAACTATCCTAGCACAATGGGTTATTGAGCTATGACTTTGGTTTACTCTCCATCTGCTGCCTGCTTTCTAAACACAGGTTTCTTAATTAGCATAAAATATATGGAATGAAGGAAAATCAATTATTACAGATGGCAAATGAATCTTGTACATTTCAGCAGAAGCATAACGGAGTAGTTCTGTACCCTGGGAAAGCTGCTGCGATGAGGCTTAACATGGAAGCCACTGCCAAGCGGTGATTAAAAATGGTATTTCTGTGGTGAAAAAAAAGGAGGCCAGGAGGTTAACTGATAGTTCTCATAGCAGTGACTTCCCCAGGGAGTGAACCACTGACCACAACTGCTGCTCTGCCCTCACCGCTTGTCTCATGCCCAGTGGTACGCTTGGCTGCTAGAGCTGCTACATGATAGGTGCAGGGAGGAGAGGGAGAGTAAGGTGCCCCACCTTAGGCAGCACCTAAGACCATTTGTTGACCTGCAGTTACACTATTGCATTAAGTAACCTCATCCTGTTTTTGTCACAGCCAGTAAATATATTGCAATATAGGAATACAAAATAAATTCACAGGGATTTAAGCTTTGAAGTTTAATATTTTAGAGCATGTACAGAAATTTCATTAAAGATAAAAGCTGATACAAATTGATCTTTAAATCTTAAGGTATATAATTATGACAGTTTCTGGCATACTTGTCTGTCTTCATGCATAATTTGATTTTCATTGTTTTGGATATAATTCATTATGATTTTCCTATGTGTGATTTAGGTTCAAAAGGTGCAAAAGGGATTCCAGGTGATCCAGGTCTAGATGGATTTCAAGGCCTGAAAGGTTTTCCGGGTGACCCTGGTCAAGAAGGATTACCAGGTCCTCCAGGTATCTTGAGATGATTGGTTATTCTCTATATATTTGTGTTGTGTTTATTATAGTTGCAAGAACCTCAAGACATTTTTCTAGGTGTCCATAAAGTTGCCTTCCTTTCAACTGTCAAACAATAATATAACATCAGTATAAAATATTTTGAGAAGAAAATTATATTTCTCATTGACAAATTCATTTGCATATATTCAATTTGATATTTTTAACATCTTCCAAGCTTGTTTTATAGTGTAGAATTATACATGTAACATGAATCAGGGACCGAAGCTTCACACAGCCCTGATATAAAACTAATGGTTTGACCACAGGTGCAGCAAGTGGGAGACTGAGGTTCAATATGCTCCTCATTGTGGCTGAGGAATAGGTTCAGGTCCATGTCTTCTACATCCCAGAAGAGTGCCATAACCAACAGACCAAAGGACAGTTAGGAGCAGGAGTGTTTCCTTCCTCCATTTGAGTCTGTGGAGCTGTGTAGAAAGCTGTGAAAGAACAGAGCCCCCTGACTTCACAGGCCCTCCCAACTGAGGTACTGAGGGGAGCTGGGCCAGACCTGCAAGGTGGGGGGGGGGCTCCTCTTTCCCCCACCCCCTTCCCAGGCCTCTTGACAGCAGCAGCACAGAGCTGCCAGCTGATTCGCCTGGCCAGAGCTCAGGTGGCGAGGGTGCAGGGTGGAACAGAGCCCCTTTGCCTCATGGTCCTGGCTCAGCTCCCCCCAGTACCCCAACCAGGGTAGCTGGGGGGAGGGGGCACAAGGTGGGGGCTCCATTCCACCCCCATCCCTCCAGCTCTGGTCAGGCAAAGCAACCAGCAGCTCCATGCTGCTCCCTCCCTCTTCGCCTGCTAACTGCCCTGGAAACAGTGTTGGGCTGGTGCTCACTGGCACAAGCACCAGCCCAACCCTGCAAAGTAGGAAAAATTAACCCTGGAGGAAACGCAAGTTCCCCAAGGTGGTCCTCTTTAGCACAACTTCATCTACTACCTGATTTGACCAGAGTCAATTTTTCATACTATTGGCTATTTTAAAGGCGCTCTGCAGCCTTGTACATGTGTTACATCACAGCTGTAGAGTCCTTTCAGGGGCCCAGTCACATGAAAATGTTACCTGTGTCATCACCCTAAGTCTCTTTGTGTATGTGGGCCAAACACCTTAGGCCTACAAACCAGAAGTTAAATATGCATCTTGCCCATAGACTGCTGATTATCACCCTTCCCTAATGGGAAACACAATTTTACATCTGTCCAGTATCCAGTGTCTTTCTTATATGGGTATTGTTCTAGATGTGCATTTAACCACTGTTGTCTTATGTATTAGGCATAATTTTATTTGGTTGTTTTATTACTCTGGGAATGTTTATATGAATGCTTTTCATATAGTTGAGTAGTTGATAGTTAATATAATTTGAAAACAAAACTACTACAAAACATACTGTTCATCTTATTAAAAGCAGGGCATATCTTGTCCCTCCTTCTGCAGATGAGGAGGGTTGTGACACTGAAAACAACTCAGTTCCTCAGTTCTGACGCATGAGGAACAAAGATGATTTGGATGAAAGCCAAGTCTGAGACTGCACACCTTTAGTGTTGTCAAGGACCCAGCCCAGCATGGCATCACTCAGAATGAAGGAGGAGGGCAAGATGACTATGTGGGGCAATGTAGATCCACTTGTTGTCTTCTTCTTGCAGAAGAGGTTGCATTAGGTCCATGGAAGCTACAAGCAATCTCCCTATTACAGGTCTGCTTCTGCTCTGCAATCTAGAGTGGAAGTGATGTTACCTCCTGCTCACACCATGTAATCAGGCTGGGGAAACACAGGATTCAATTTTCCCATAACTGGCTTCAAAAACCATTAATACCATTTCTGTTAAGTGGGAAAAAGGCACAAAGACACATATTTCAAAGTGTCTAAGGACCAAATTCTCACTAGTACTTAGGTACCTAAGCCAACCATTTAAGCCCCACTACTGGCTGCTGCTTAACCATTTCTGCCAGTGGATGTAGGCAGAGCTACCTAAGCACTGACGCTTTCTCACAGCTAATGAATCCTGAAGTGGGATTCTCAAACTAGGCATTCTTCAGGTATGTAGCCTGTCTTAGAGGTGGGGAAAAGGTGTGTACACCTAGCTTGGTTGTGACAGCCCCAACACTGGGGTGTGGGATATGTAGGTTCAAATCCCTGTTCTGCCTCTTTTGGAGCATGACCTTGAACCCTTACCTCCAACCACATAGGTTGCTGGTAATTTTGTGGTGGGGTCCCTTTCTGTCTTCCTCCCGACTTCCTCCCTCAGGCTGGATTAGTCACCTAACTAGAGCAGAGAGTTCAGATTTGAAGATCCTGAACAGGGACAGGAACCTAAGCCCTACTTCTTTCTAATGCATTTCACTCCTGGTCATTTTAAGTGGCTCCCCACTCATCTGGTCTCTCCTTGTATGGGGAGCCAAGGCACCTAAATCAAGGTACCAAGGGTACCCATACTGAGTCTGTGATCTTCTAAGATTCTCAGGCCCTTCTCTATAATGCAGCCATCCAGGCAGGCATCACCCATTTTGTGTTTGTATGTTTGATTGTTTTTCCTGAGATGTAACACCTTGCATTTGCCAGCATTGAACTTCATCCTGTTAGCTCCAGTCCAGCTTTCCAATCTGTTGATATCCTGTCCTCCAATGTGTTCACGATCCTTCCCAGTTCCTTGCCATCTGCAGACTTGCTCAAGAAGCATTCAGTTTCAGAATCCAAATAATTAATACACACATTGAACCACACTGAGCTCAGGACAGAACCATATGGGACTCCACTTGAAGCCTCCTGCTCTTCTGACATGGATCCATTTATAATTACCCTTTGCTTGTGGTTATTGAGCCTGTTATCTATCTACCTTGTAGTAGTTTTGTCTAGCCCTCATTTTTCCAATTTGTTTATGAGAAGGATATGTGGGACTTTGTCAAAAACCCTGCTGAAGTCCACATATGCTATATCCATAGCATTGCCTTCCTCCACCCAAGTGGTTACTTTGTCAAAAAAGGAGATCAGGTTTGTTTGATGCAACTTATTTAATTGGGTGCTTGTGATCAGCCTTGCCTCCTCCAGAAGCTTGCAAATTGGCGTCTTTTGGGTATACATCAGTAACTTTCTGGGTACTGAGGTGAGGTAAATTCATCTGTAGTTCCCCAGGTCTTCCTTTTTGCCTTTTTTAAAGAAGAACACTACGCTGGCCCTTTTCCAGGTCTCTGGTTACCTCACCCATCTCCCATATTAGCCTACTGGATTGCTCAGGCATAACTTTATTTTTGGCTTGGTATTTGTAATATCTGATATCTTGTGATACCTGGTAAGCCTCATGTTGACTGCTATTTTCCTTCTAGGATTTCCTGGACCCAGGGGAGAAAGAGGCCCATCAGGTTTACCTGGTCAACAGGGGGAAAAGGGTATTTCAGGAAAACCAGGAGTCCAAGGGCCTGAAGGACCAAAGGGAGTTGCAGGTGAAGTTTTAGGAGCATCAGCAGGCTCCATTGGTGATGTCGGACTACCTGGATTACCTGGATTAAAAGGTCCACCAGGAAATCAAGGAGTACCAGGACTGCAAGGTAACTGTTATGTCAAATAAAGAAATGTTACATGAGAAGAAAGATATGGGTGCAGCCACAGTGCAGCTTTACTTGGGCATCACTATGTGAGATTGCAAAAAAGATGCTGATCATGTAAGCAATTGTGTAACGTCCAGCAAATGCATTTATCCCTCTATTTCAAACGGATTTTCTTGGCAGGTTGCAGAAAGTAGGAAAAGGTGGCACCTTAACAGAGCTGGAGTGGGCTATTGCTTTGGGGCCTTCTGTTTTATGTTTATACATTAGATACCTTTTATACTATTTTGTTTTCATGTTCATTCTCCTGTTTTATAAATTGTTCTTTTCTCTTACTGTAAGCCTCCTGAGCCTTTGTTAGGAAAGGCATCATAAAAAAATGAATGAATGAATGAATGCTAATGAGATTTTGTAAGCAACTTCATCTGATGTAAGCTGATGACATAGGCTATTATCTATGAAAGTTTCCTCTCTGAACCATATGGTTTCTAAGGTACTACCCTGCCCTACCTTCTGACTTCAGACTAACACAGCTAACCGCTTCTCCAGGTAGGTTGCAGAGTCCCCATCTCCGATTTTTGAAGTTCAGATTAGATAAATATTTGTCTGGACTGGTTTAGACAAAGGTGAACCTGTCCTGAGCTAGGGGGGTTGGACTATATTGACCTCCTGAATTCCCTTTTACTCCATTTTTCTATGATTCCATAAACAGACAGCTTGCAAAAAATACACAGTTCATTATAAATATAAACATTAAGGGTGGGATATAAGTACTGAGTGTATTATTCATTATTTCATTCAATAAAAGATTTTGAATTTATCACATGCCTGCACAAAATTTCTAGTTTGGTTCTCCAGCCATTCTGTGAATTTCTATGATGTAGAACCTGTGCCAATTTGATATACAGCTCAGAATACGTAGAGCTCAATGATGGGATATTGAGCCTTTAACCTAGGTTACTAGGTCAAACCTGGATTTGTTTAGCGGTAAACAAAATTCTTAAGGTTCTGTTTTCAGAGTGCTTAGAAAAGGAGTTGTAGGATCATAGAAAAGTAGGGCTGGAAGGGACCTCACAAGGTAGGATCATCCCTGACTAAGCCATCCCGAACAAGTGTCTGTCTATTTCTCAAGTCCACATATAACAATGGAAATCCTTGTGGTACTCTCACTGGAAAATGGTATGGGGGCCCTTTCGTGCCCAGTGGATATGGCCTCTTCAGATCAGGTTTCAGGCTTCCTATTTAGTACCTATGAAGAGATGTATAATGTTGCTACCTAGTCAGTGGCTAAAGACATCCCTTTATTTATGGTTTCTCTCTTGGCTGGTGTCATTTTGTTTTTCAGTTATTTTATAGAATACAAAATATTACAGAGTTCTTTGTGGAAGACAAACATACTTTTTATAGAAAGAGCTCACAATTTATATTTTTGCAGCAAGATTTTCAAAGGCACAGATGAGAGGTAGATAGTGATACCCAATTCCTGCTGATAGCCAATCACATTTAAGTGTGCAATTCTCCTTGTATGTATGAAAAGCTCCCTTTTAAATGTACAAGTGTGAGAGGTAAAGAAGGCAGTTGTAGCATTATGATGGTGCGTTTACTCAATATATAGCCAGGTGCATAACACACTGAATCAATTAAGTGAGGGATTCTTTTGCTTTTTTTTAAAGGACTGAAAAATAAGGGAGATAAGATTATAAGAGTGAACACTCAGTTGTGGGTACTATAGAAAACATACTGATCTCCAGGGTAACTGACATGGGGAGACAAAGCTAGGTCCATCCATTTTACACTGCAGAGCATTTTACATACAGGGATGTCTTCAGTAGAGGCACAGATTTGCCTTCAGGGGAAAATGTATGAAGAGAGCAACTTGGTACCTTTTTATAAACACTAGACTTTATTCTTTTTCTCAGGTGAGTCAGCAAAGCCTTTAAGTAAGTTTCATACATGGGAGAAAAAGATTCAGATTAAGAAGGGACAAAAAAGGAAAATGTCAATGCCTTTGTGCACAATTTTTTATATGGATATGAGACCTCAATATTAAGGGAAAGTAATGACAGCAAAGGACAAACCATGTCAGCATATCTGTTTTCAGTGTTTCACCATTCATACATAATTTCTCCAAGGAAAATATTGGACATAGAAAATTTTTGTATGAGCAATTCCTTTCTTGATCCTCTGTCAGAAATGTAAATGTTTAACCATTTCCACTGAAATCCTCAACTGCCTCTCCATAGGACCAAATGGGAATACATACATGAGAGGCATAGTTAGCTGTGTTAGTCTGAATTTAAGTAGATGGTGCAGTAAACTAACTAAAATAGATATACATAGCACAACACTTAATGGAATGCTTCATCAGATGCTGAAAAAGCATACTCTAGATGCTGAAACTGTTGTTATTATTATTACAATATTTTAGGAGCTGGTGGTATCCCAGGTTCACCAGGATCCAAAGGTGAGCCAGGTCTCCAAGGCCCTCGTGGCTTGATTGGTCTGCCAGGAGAACCAGGATCACATGGATTCCCAGGGATTCCAGGACAGCAAGGACCAGCTGGGAGAGGTGGTATAACTGGACACATTGGTAAGGAAGACACTTCTTGTACATTCCCTTCTATTCTGTTCCTTGAGTTAGTTTTTGCCAGCCTTGAGTGGAGCACATATCATAGTGATGAGCAGGGATCCTGCTTTTCTCTGATTCAAAGAAATCTCAAATTTTAGGGTTAAAAAAGTAACCCAAAATCCACATTTTTCCATGATCAAAATGAAACACCATTATATATACATCTATGTATTAGAGTGGTGTAGTTTCATAGTTTTATTGTTGTTAGGGTCGGAAGGAACCTGAGCAGATCATTAAGTCTGACCACCTGCCATGTGCAGGAAAGAATGCTGGGGTCAAACGACCCCAGCTAGGTGTCTATCTAGCCTCCTTTTGAGGACCCCCAGGGTAGAAGCGAGCACCACTTCCCTTGGAAGTGGGTTCCAGATCCTAACTGACCTGACTGTGAAGTAGTGCCTCCTGATGTCTAGCCTGAACCTACTCTCAGTCAACTTGTGGCCATTATTCCTAGTTACTCTGGGTAGTGCTCAGGGGAACAGGGCCTCTCCCATTCCCTGTTGGTCCCCCCGGTAAGTTTATAGATGACCACCAGATCCCCTCTCAGCCTTCTCTTGTGGAGGCTAAACAGGCTCAAGTCATAGTTTCATAGTTTGTAGGGTCGGAAGGGACCTGAGCAGATCATCGAGTTCAACCCCCTGCCATGGCAGGAAAGAGTACTGGGGTCAAACGACCCCAGCAAGGTGTTCATCTAGTCTCCTCTTAAACACCCCCAGGGTAGGAGCCAGCACCACTTCTCTTGGAAGTTGGTTCCAGATCCTAGCCGCCCTGACAGTGAAGTTGCACCTCCTGATATCTAGCCTAAATCTACCCTCTGCCAGCTTGTGACTGTTATTCCTAGTCACTCCTGGTAGTGCTTGGGGGAACAGGGACTCCCCCAGTGCCTGCTGGTCCCCTCTGACTAGTTTGTAACAGGCCACTAGATCCCCCCCCTCAGCCTTCTCTTGTGGAGGCTGAACAGGTTCAGGTCCCGTAGCCTCTCTTCGTAGGGCTTGCCCTGCTGACCCTGACTATGCGAGTGGCCCTCCTCTGGACCCTCTCAATGCTGGCCACATCCCTCCTGAAGTGTGGCACCCAGAACTGGATGCCAACTGCTCCAACTGCAGCCTGACCAATGTCGCACAGAGTGGGAGAATCACCTCCTTGAACCTGCTCATGATGCATCTGTGGATCCATGACAAGGTGCGGTTAGCCTTACTGACTGTGTCCTCACATTGGCAGCCCATGTTCATCCTGGAATCAATAATGACTCCAAGATCCCTGTCTGCCTCTGTGCTGATGAGAAGGGAGTTCCCAGGCCTATAGGTATGCTGCTGGTTCTTCCTCCCTAGGTGCAGAACCTTGCACTTGTCAGTATTGAATCGCATCCTATTCTCATCCACCCACCCCATAACCTGTACAGGTCTAGTTGTAGCCTGCCCCTCCCTTCTAGTGTGCCCACCTCTCCCCACATCTTAGTGTTGTCCACGAATTTGAACAAGGTGCTTTTCAACCCCTCATCCAAGTCACTGATAAAGATGTTGAACAGCGCGGGCCCGAGGACCGAGCCCTGGGGGACTCCATTGCCCACATCCCTCCAGGTCGAAAATGACCCATCCACCACTCCACCACCAGGTTGTAGCTGTGTGGGTCTAAGGACATAGGCAGACAAGGTTCTTTGGGTGAACCTGATATCTTTTATTAGACCAACTTAAATAGTTAGGAAAAAATTTCTTAGGAAGGTTTTGGGTTTAAAAACCCTTCATCAGGCTGAGGAATCATCTCTAGCTGTTGTGTGCTCTTCCTGGCTGGAAAGAATTAGAGGCATTTAATTTTAATCATGGGAAAATGTGGATTTTGGGTTACTTTTTTTAACCTGAAAATTGGGGATATTTTTTTAATCAGAGAAAAGCAGGAAGTCTGGTGATGAGGCTATATTAGTACCTAGAAGGACAAGGATGCTATCTTTTCATTAATATTAATCCTCTTGGACTCTTCAGTGCTCCCTGCATTTCTGATCATGCAGAGGTTGCCAAAGAGAGCAGGGTTCAGTAACTGATTAAATGGGGAATGGGAGT